GCCACGATGACCCATGCAGATGGTTATGTGTGCATATTTATTGTTGGGCCATGTGGCCGTTACCATGCTTATTGCGCAGCTGAAATCACTCGACGCGCTCGAGTGAAATGATTAAAAGACGCTCGGCCCGAGTCTTGAAGACGTTCAGGGCCAGCTAAAGAGGAGACCATCACGGCGGAGGACCGTGAGACGAGCATCTCCACCCCAGAGACCGATGGCCTAGGAGAGAACACCTAGAGGCCGAGGACTATAGTGGACTACCACGGCGGAGGACCGTGAGACGATCATCCATCATTCAGAGGCCGAGGGCCTAGAGGAGACCATCACGGCCGAGGGCCGTGAGACCATCCTGATTTTCAGGTCGGCCTCTCATCGCCGACATTATCATACCACGACCGGCCCCTCGGCTCGGCGTGTTCATCTTTTGAAGACCGGTCTCGTCCCCGCGCTGCGCGGATGAGGACCGTTGCTTGGTTCTTTCATGTCGGCCGCTCATTGCCGACACCATTATACCACGACCGGCCTCTCGGACCGGCGTGATGATCATATTCGAAGACCGGCCTCGTCCCCGCCACCTCGTGGACGAGGACCGTTGCTTGACCATATCTTGATCGGCATCTCATTGCCGACATTATCATACCACGACCGGCCCCTCGGCTCGGCGTGTTCATATTTGAAGACCGGCCTCGTCCCCGCCCTCGCGGACGAGGGCCGTTGCTTGATTTTCTCAGATCGGCCGCTCATTGCCGACACCATTATACCACGACCGGCCTCTCGGACCGGCGTGATGATCATATTCGAAGACCGGCCTCGTCCCCGCCACCTCGTGGACGAGGACCGTTGCTTGACCATATCTTGATCGGCATCTCATTGCCGACATTATCATACCACGACCGGCCCCTCGGCTCGGCGTGTTCATATTTGAAGACCGGCCTCGTCCCCGCACTGCGCGGATGAGGACCGTTGCTTGTTTTCTCAGATCGGCCTCTCATTGCCGATATCGTCATATCACGACCGGCCTCTCGGCTCGGCGTGCTTATCTTTTGAAGACCGGCCTCGTCCCCGCCCTCGCGGACGAGGGCCGTTGCTTGATTTTCTCAGATCGGCCGCTCATTGCCGACACCATTATACCACGACCGGCCTCTCGGCTCGGCGTGCTTGTCTCTTGAAGACCGGCCTCGTCCCCGCCACCCCGCGGACGAGGACCGTTGTTTGATTCTTTCAGGTCGGCCTCTCACTGCCGACACTATCATGTTATGTTCGGCCTCTCGGCACGACATATTTATCTTTTGAAGACCGGTTTCATCCCCGCGCTGCGTTGGATGAGAGCCGTTGCTCGGATATATCGGCCTGACCGGACACTATTGCCATCTCCATTATCAGGACCGACTGCTCAGCGACATTATGATCATTGTATATCGGCTCCCAATGCCGACCTTCTTGAGTCAGCGATCGGGCTTACCCCTCCCCTCCAGGAGGGTGACCATCGCCTTCGCATGACGACCAGCTATTCCGTCGCCCCGTCATTTTATTCGTGTTGGTATGCCACCACCATTATGTGTGACATCCCGTGATCCCTGCGAGTTTCTTGGATACCGAATGTCTTCTTCGATGTAGGAAGATCGGTAGGACCACGGACCAGGGACGAACGAAGCGCCAGGGAATCTCGATGCAGATAAACCTGTTCCTCCTTGCGATGTCTGCGGATACCGAACGTCTCCTCGAAGTAAGGGCGCCGGTAGGGACCAAGGACCAGGGACGAACGAAGCACCAGGGAATCTCGATGCAGATAAACCTGTTCCTCCTTGCGATGTCTGCGGATACCGAACGTCTCCTCGAAGTAAGGACGCCGGTAGGACCAAGGACCAGGGACGAACGAAGCGCCAGGGAATCTCGATGCAGATAAACCTGTTCCTCATTGAGATGTCCGCGGATACCGAACGTCTCCTCGAAGTAGGAACGCCGGTAGGACCAAGGACCAATGACGAACGAAGAGTATAGATTGCCTCCCTCAAACAAAAAAAAAAAAAAAAAAAAAAAAAAAAAAAAAAAAAAAAGAAGATGGGGAGAAGAGGAGGGTAGCTCCTATGTGGAAGGGAATCTTGCCCGGGTGTGCCAGATCTTCTCCCACCGCCGAAGACGAACGCCTCTCGATGCAGAGGTTTAGTAGAGACGCGGAGGGGGCTAGACGAACCAAGGGAGCCTTGCCAAGATAAACCTGTTCATCCCACAATGACCATGGATCGATGGATGTGGGATAACAAAGACGGGAACCCGTGAGGGTAAACCAGTTCGTCCCTGCGAGTTCCTTGGGTACCGGAACGTCTTCTTCGATGCAAGAGACGCCGGTAAGACTAAAAGGACCAGGGACGAACGAAAAAAGGGGGAATCTCGATGTAGATATACCTGTTCTCATTGCGATGTCCGCGGATACCGAACGTCTCTTCGATGTAAGAACGCCGGTAGGGACCAAGGACCAATGACGAACGAAGACTAAAAGACTCCAAAAAAAAAAAAAAAAAAAAAAAAAAAGTGATGCCAGAAGAGCACGGAGCAAAGAATGATTTTATCCCTTGGCACTATTGGCTGTGAAGTACAAACTGAAAAACATATGTAAAGAATAATTACAAGACTTAAGTACGAAGAATGAAGTGGCCGACGACGATCGGCTAACATCAGGTTTTCTTTTGCCTCGAACGACGATTAGCTCCCCAGATCAGGTAGAAGGGGACATCGCCCAGATTTATTTCAGGCTCACCATTCCTTCCCGGATGGAGTCCTGGCAGACGATCGGCTTCTCACAGCCAATCAGGAGAGAGACTTGACACATCACCAGCACGGCCGAGGGCCGTGAGACGATTACCACTCACCGACAGGCCGAGGGCCATGAGATGATCATCACCATTTTTCTGTATCACGATCGGCCCCCTCAGCGCCATCGTGTCCAGACTCACGGTTCGTCTCGCCCATTCCCTCCAGGATGGCGACGACCGTCTTATGCAGCACGATCGGCTTCTCAGCGCCATCGTGTCTCTTTCACGTTCGGATCGCCCCATTCCCTCCAGGATGGCGACGAACGTCTTATGCAGTGCGATCGGCCCCTCGACGCCATCGTACTTGGCTTCACGGTTCGGCTCGCCCATTCCCTCCAGGATGGCGACGACCGTCCTATGCAGCACGATCGGCTTCTCAGCGCCATCGTGTCTCTTTCACGTTCGGATCGCCCCATTCCCTCCAGGATGGCGAACGAACGTCTTATGCAGTGCGATCGGCCCCTCGACGCCATCGTACTTGGCTTCACGGTTCGGCTCGCCCATTCCCTCCAGGATGGCGACGACCGTCTTATGCAGCACGATCGGCTTCTCAGCGCCATCGTGTCTCTTTCACGTTCGGATCGCCCCATTCCCTCCAGGATGGCGACGAACGTCTTATGCAGTGCGATCGGCCCCTCGACGCCATCGTACTTGGCTTCACGGTTCGGCTCGCCCATTCCCTCCAGGATGGCGACGACCGTCCTATGCAGCACGATCGGCTTCTCAGCGCCATCGTGTCTCTTTCACGTTCGGATCGCCCCATTCCCTCCAGGATGGCGACGAACGTCTTATGCAGTGCGATCGGCCCCTCGACGCCATCGTACTTGGCTTCACGGTTCGGCTCGCCCATTCCCTCCAGGATGGCGACGACCGTCTTATGCAGCACGATCGGCTTCTCAGCGCCATCGTGTCTCTTTCACGTTCGGATCGCCCCATTCCCTCCAGGATGGCGACGAACGTCTTATGCAGTGCGATCGGCCCCTCGACGCCATCGTACTTGGCTTCACGGTTCGGCTCGCCCATTCCCTCCAGGATGGCGACGACCGTCCTATGCAGCACGATCGGCTTCTCAGCGCCATCGTGTCTCTTTCACGTTCGGATCGCCCCATTCCCTCCAGGATGGCGACGAACGTCTTATGCAGTGCGATCGGCCCCTCGACGCCATCGTACTTGGCTTCACGGTTCGGCTCGCCCATTCCCTCCAGGATGGCGACGACCGTCCTATGCAGCACGATCGGCTTCTCAGCGCCATCGTGTCTCTTTCACGTTCGGATCGCCCCATTCCCTCCAGGATGGCGACGAACGTCTTATGCAGTGCGATCGGCCCCTCGACGCCATCGTACTTGGCTTCACGGTTCGGCTCGCCCATTCCCTCCAGGATGGCGACGACCGTCCTATGCAGCACGATCGGCTTCTCAGCGCCATCGTGTCTCTTTCACGTTCGGATCGCCCCATTCCCTCCAGGATGGCGACGAACGTCTTATGCAGTGCGATCGGCCCCTCGACGCCATCGTACTTGGCTTCACGGTTCGGCTCGCCCATTCCCTCCAGGATGGCGACGACCGTCTTATGCAGCACGATCGGCTTCTCAGCGCCATCGTGTCTCTTTCACGTTCGGATCGCCCCATTCCCTCCAGGATGGCGACGAACGTCTTATGCAGTGCGATCGGCCCCTCGACGCCATCGTACTTGGCTTCACGGTTCGGCTCGCCCATTCCCTCCAGGATGGCGACGACCGTCCTATGCAGCACGATCGGCTTCTCAGCGCCATCGTGTCTCTTTCACGTTCGGATCGCCCCATTCCCTCCAGGATGGCGACGAACGTCTTATGCAGTGCGATCGGCCCCTCGACGCCATCGTACTTGGCTTCACGGTTCGGCTCGCCCATTCCCTCCAGGATGGCGACGACCGTCTTATGCAGCACGATCGGCTTCTCAGCGCCATCGTGTCTCTTTCACGTTCGGATCGCCCCATTCCCTCCAGGATGGCGACGAACGTCTTATGCAGTGCGATCGGCCCCTCGACGCCATCGTACTTGGCTTCACGGTTCGGCTCGCCCATTCCCTCCAGGATGGCGACGACCGTCCTATGCAGCACGATCGGCTTCTCAGCGCCATCGTGTCTCTTTCACGTTCGGATCGCCCCATTCCCTCCAGGATGGCGACGAACGTCTTATGCAGTGCGATCGGCCCCTCGACGCCATCGTACTTGGCTTCACGGTTCGGCTCGCCCATTCCCTCCAGGATGGCGACGACCGTCCTATGCAGCACGATCGGCTTCTCAGCGCCATCGTGTCTCTTTCACGTTCGGATCGCCCCATTCCCTTCCAGGATGGCGACGAACGTCTCTTATGCAGCACGATCAGCGCCCCAGCGCCATCGTGTCTGGCTCACGTTAGGGTCGCCCATCCCTTCCAGGATGGCGACGAACGTCTCTTATGCAGCACGATCAGCGCCCCAGCGCCATCGTGTCTGGCTCACGTTAGGGTCGCCCATCCCTTCCAGGATGGCGACGAACGTCTCTTATGCAGCACGATCAGCGCCCCAGCGCCATCGTGTCTGGCTCACGTTAGGGTCGCCCATCCCTTTCAGGATGGCGACGAACGTCTCTTATGCAGCACGATCAGCGCCCCAGCGCCATCGTGTCTGGCTCACGTTAGGGTCGCCCATCCCTTTCAGGATGGCGACGAACGTCTCTTATGCAGCACGATCAGCGCCCCAGCGCCATCGTGTCTGGCTCACGTTAGGGTCGCCCATCCCTTTCAGGATGGCGACGAACGTCTCTTATGCAGCACGATCAGCGCCAGCGCCATCGTGTCTGGCTCACGTTAGGGTCGCCCATCCCTTTCAGGATGGCGACGAACGTCTCTTATGCAGCACGTCTGCCCCTCGGTGCTGACATGCCCGTTTTATCGATGAGAGCCACCGCTTTCTATCACATCTCACATTCCTTCTCTCATACATTGCACTCATACATTACATGCATTCATGCATTCATGCATCATACCTCATACATTCATACATACACACGTGCATCATGTTTTGACAGTACCGCGATGTCGGTTTATAGATGCATGGACCTCTAAGCTTCTCCGTTGGAAAGCTCGAGTCAGAGTCCTTTACTCTCGCCTGATGCATTCAGGGGGAGCGTGCCCGTGGAGGAGCACCTTTCGCCCGACCCCATCGGGAACGGGGGTGCCTCACCGGCAGATTACGTTCAGGAGTGTGGACATCCACTCATATATTATGATTATTCGAAGACACAGGTTCCAGCTAGACCGAGGTAAAGCGCAGGCAAGAGTATATTTTCTCGAGCAGATTCGCACGCTCACTACTCAAGAAACTGGGGGACTTGTGTTGGGATATATTATCCCGGCCTATTACTGTTCAAGAGCCCAAGATATTATCCAGTACGGAGCCTGAACAGTTAGGACCATTTCGGCCCATCCGGCCCACTTTAGCCTTTGGGCCTGTTTCGGCCCACTTGGCCCATTAGGGTGGAGAGTACTTCCCATCCCCTTTCCTTATAAATATGGGGGTTTCCCTCCATATGAAGGATCCCCTTTTTCCTCCTTCTTCATGCTTCTTCTTCTCTAGATTATATAATACTCCATTAATGGGAGCTTCAAGCTTGTATAATGTAATGGTGAGGAGTGCCTAATGAGAATTGAGAGGGCTTGGACATTAGCCTAAAAAGTCCCGTGGTTTTCTCCCTTTCGGGTTTCCACGTAAAAACTGAGTTGTTCATACACATTTATACATATATTTACTATATCGTGTTGGATTAAACTCAACACCCATATACCTAGCCTTACCCACATGATAAATATCCCTTGTTCACCCCCTTTGAGCCCATTTGTTTTAATAAGCGTTATATGTTTAACCCTGCTTTTCTTATTTTCTTTCATAAAAACCAGTTATATGTGACCCTTAGCCTAAAAGCCAAACACTTTCCAACCACCCTAGAATGAACTTTGCATAAATTTTAATGAGTTTAGAGAGTGTCATTCACATTTAGGGAGCTTTAATAATTACACTTTTGTGATTACTTAGTTGTTAATATTCGTTTATAGGGGTAGTTGTTCTTGTTGTATCATCATTGTACATATTATTCTTGTAAATTCTTAGTGTTAGAAGCATTAAAAAGCCTTGAAAAAAAAATAAAAAAAAAACAGAAAAAAAGAAAATGAAAAAAAACAATCTATACAAGGCTGAATATCCATGTATATGCTTCTCTCTTTTGTGTATTTTTCTTGTACATTAATTTACCCTTTTTACTAGTTACTATCCCTAACTTTAAAAAAATAACAAGTGTTGTATAGATTATTGTCAAAAGCTCCTACTCACTACTTAGTACCTCTCTAAATTTGTTAAATTTATGTCAAGTTCATTTCTTTTGTTTCCTCATTAATTCCCTTTGTTCATAAGCCTATCCCACAGACCCCATTATAACCCAATGTTAAAAGTCCTAATTGATCTTAATTGTGTTTTGTCTTAAATAAGTTGATAGGAAAATCTTATTTTGCATAATTTTGCATGATTGAACAAATGAAGCTAGATTCCATGTTCACACCACACACTTTGTGTTTGTTAGAGTTGAGATTTGACCAAAACGTTTCAAATGATATGCACAATATTTTTATGATTCTCACTTCTCTTATTTTGTGACAAGTCAAGGGAATTTGATTAAACAGGTGGAGTGAAAGTAAAGTGTGCATGATTTGAGGATTACACATATGATTTGGCAATTCATTTTTGCATGCTCGTTTGCTTGTGTGAAATGTAAATATTTTTGCTTGAGGACAAACAAAATCTTAAGTATGGGGGAGTTGATGTACTCCTAATTTACCATATTTATGATCTTGTTTTGTCACATTTTTAATACTTTATTTCTCATTTTTAAATAAAATGGATTGATCTTTATCATCTTGGACATTTTAAGGTATTGCACTTGTTTTGGTATACTTTTGAGTTTCAGGATAATTCGGAACAATCATCAAAGTGAAGCGAGTCCTTACTTTATCTCCGAAATATTTATACAGAGACCCGAAGTTCATTTCAGAATAAATCAGACTGTCCACAATAAAATGTACCGGTTAACTGTTTGACCAGTCAACTGATCAAACAGCTAACCGGCCAAATAAAGAAGTGGCGAACAAAGAGCCAAGCTGACAACATTATTCACTCCATTATTGTGAATAAGGCTCCACCGTAGAAAAACTCGAAGAAGAAAACAAAGGAGATTAAATACATTGTATTGATCCACCAACTGCATACAAAGCTGTCTTCATCATCTCCATTCTGCAATCAAGAGAACAACGGCAAAACAGAAGAAAACAGTAGCCGGCGAAGGAAAAAACGGCAATTGAACAGCGGCTGGTACTATTTGCAGAAAGAAATTAAGCAAGTGACAATCACATCTAATGAAGGCTGAGGTAATAGCACACCAAGAATCATTGATCAGCATCTTCGTTTCAGATTTCTTCTATGGCCTAGCTCCTTCTCCGGCTGCTATATAAAGGGTCATTTGGGAGCTGCGAAAATACACCAATTCGGAGAGAAATCTCCTTCTTCTTTCTTTAGTTCAGTTTGTATTAGTAGTTATTTAATAAATAGTTCTTTCTAGAGCTACTATGTATAAATCAGTACTCCTGTAAAGTTAGTTTCCAGCAATTTCAGTCTTGAGTTCGTCATCTTGTGCACTCCAGTTACAGAAAAGCCTGAATGCAAGTAAAGTTTTATTCTCTTTTAATTTCGTTTCTCATACTTAAATATTAAACAATGTATGAAGTTTTCATTTTATTTTCGTGCAAACATGAGTAGCTAATTTAGTTTAGGCTTGGGCAAGATGTAAATTTTACTGTTAATGTTCATATGATAATAATTGGTTAAAACTTTTACTTGGTTAATTTTAGGGTGTTGGGTTGAATGTTCTAATCTGATAAATACATTATATTGGGAAATGAATATTATCACGGGAGTGAAGTTTCATTAAAAATCCCTTTAGTTAATTCACCCACTAAATTGCTACACGGAAGTGTTAAGGAATTTAGGATAATTTGATTTTGTACTTTTTACTGTCTTAATAAAATTACCGCGGGAGCGGAATTAATTTAAGATAGTGTGATCAACTAAGTCGTGGGAACGATTAGAAGATTACCATTTGAAAATCTTTCACACACCTAAAAGTAACCAAGTTAATCAGTTAAATCTTTATTATTATGAACATGAAAATAAAATCACTCTTAGCCCAAGCCTAATTTTCACTATATCATTAATTGTTAAATTATCAAGTCTTGTGATTTATTTTATTTCCTAGCAATTTCACATTTATAAAAACAAGATAAAAAAATCTGTTCACTTAGCTCCATTGCAAAATGTTATCAATTTGTGATTAGCTAAAAATCAATCATTAATTCTAGTTCTCTTTTTGAGCCATTCTCTAGCGGAACGATACTCACTTACTCTATACTATATCGTTACAAGCCAATTAAAACATCATTTCCATTCACATTTTTACACCATTTCACACTACACATTTTGGCATGTCAGCCATCGTGTCCAGATTCACGGTTCGGCTCGCCCATTCCCTCCAGGATGGCGACGACCGTCTTATGCAGTACGATCGGCCCCTCAGCGCCATCGTACCCAGCTCACGTTCAGCCCGTCCATCCCTTCCAGGGTGGCGACGAACGTCTTATGCATCACGATCGGCCCCTCAGCGCCATCGTGTCCAGACTCACGGTTCGGCTCGCCCATTCCCTTCCAGGATGGCGACGATCGTCTTATGCAGTACGATCGGCCCCTCAGCGCCATCGTACCCAGCTCACGTTCAGCTTGTCCATCCCTTCCAGGGTGGCGACGAACGTATTATGCATCACGATCGGCCCCTCAGCGCCATCGTGTCCAGATTCACGGTTCGGTTCGCCCATTCCCTTCCAGGATGGCGACGAACGTCCTTATGCAGCACGATCGGCCTCTCAGCACCATCGTGTCTGGCTCATGTTCGGCTCGCCCATCCCTTCCAGGATGGCGACGAACATCTCTTATGCAGCACAATCGGCCCCTCCGTGCCATTGTGTCAAGTTCATCTCCGGATCGCCCATTCCTTCTAGGATGGCGATGACCGTCTTATGCAGCACGTCTGCCTCTCGGCGCTGACATGCTCGGTTTATCGATGAGAGCCACCGCTTTCTATCACATCTCACATTCCTTCTCTCATACATTGCACCCATACATTACATGCATTCATGCATTCATGCATCATACCTCATACATTCATACATGCACACGTGCATCATGTTTTGACAGTACCGCGACGTCGGTTTATAGATGCATGGACCTCTAAGCTTCTCCGATTGGAAAGCTCGAGTCAGAGTCCTTTACTCTCGCCTGATTCATTCAGGGGGAGTGTGCCCGTGGAGGAGCACCTTTCGTCCGACCCTGTCGGGAAGGGGGGTGCCTCACCGGCAGATTACGTTCAGGAGTGCAGATACCCACTCATATATTATGATTATTCGAAGACACAGGTTCCAGCTAGACAGAGGAAGAGCGCAGGCAAGAGTATATTTTCTCGAGCAGATTCGCACGCTCACTACTCAAGAAACTGGGGGACTTGTGTTGGGATATATTATCCCGGCCTATTACTGTTCAGGAGCCCAAGACATTATCCAGTACGGAGCCCGAGCAGCTAAGCCCACTTTGGCCATTAGGCCCGACATCGGCCCGTTTGGTCCATTAGGGTGGAGTACTTCCCTCACCCCTTTCCCTATTTATAGGAGGCTTTCCCTCCATGTAAAGGATCCCCTTTTCCTCCTTCTTCATGCTTCTTCTTCTCTAGATTAGCTTGATCCTCCATTAATAGGAGCTTGAATATTGTACTATGTAATGGTGAGGAGAGTCAAAATGAGAATGAGAGGGCTTGGACATTAGCCTAAAAAGTCTTGTGGTTTTCTCCCTTTCGGGTTTCCACGTAAAAATAGCTTGTTCATACACATTTATACATATATTTATTATATCGTGTTGGATTAAACTCAACAATTATGTATATTAGTAGAAAATCATGGTCAAAGTAAGATCTGTGAATAGTGTAAAAATCACAATGTTGCACGAATTATAGAACGGAGGAAGTACATCGTAGGGGGGATGTAAAGCCAAGATCTACCAAATTACAGAACATATGGGTAACTGATCGCATCAAACTTCACAATGCCCATAAACTTACTGTAAATGATCGGGCTACTGTAAAAAAAGATTAGAGTTATTTGCAATAAAATATGATGCCCTATTACAAGGTTTCTTAATATAAGATAAATTGAAATTGACGTATTGGAACAACTCTTTAAAGGCATTGAAATTAGCTAGCGCTTTCCACCTTGGTCTCTCAATTCCTGTCAAGGTTCGTATAACTTGCAATTTGTCACATTCAAGAATAACATTAGTGTAATTGCTTTCTCTAAGCAGATTGTTCATTCGGATCATAATATCACATAAATTGGAGGTGCAATACAACTGGTTGTGTGTATTCGAGCTGAAATATATCGTTTGCCCCTGATCATTCCTCATTATCAAGCCAGTAATAGTGTCACCATCCCTACTGATATCCATGGCAATATTGATCTTAATGGAGTTCTTGGGAGGTTTATGCCAACTAGCAAACCGCATGGTAGCCTCCTAGGTTTTCATCTTAGGTGTATTAAGGGTAATATCAGGAATGGGGGGTTAACAGCTTTAGTGATGAAGGGGTTAATCTCACTAACATCCCGGATCTTGTTATCGATACAATCAATATTAAGTGTACCCGTTTCTTTTCCTAATGGTCCAACAAATGTAACTAGCAACTTGGCAGTTAAGGTTAAAAAATCATCTTTTGCAGTAAACCAATCATGTAAAACAGAATTGAGAGACTCATTGTTACGGTTCCCAATATTGAAAAGGTTAAACTATTTGTTGAAATTAGATATATGTATTTTTAACACAACCTTCTATCATATATACTTCAATCTTCAATTTAAAAGGTGTATACACATTAACCGTCAAATAAATTATCATCTTATTATTTTATGGAATTTTATCCGTGACTAGGACAATGTTTAATTTCTATAGAGTGACCATATAAAACTAAACTCATAGTAATCTTCGCCATATATTTATTCATACATTTATTTTTTATTAATATTTTCAGGAAAACTCATATTATTGATAAGATAAAGAAAAAGTATATGGATTTTTTTTAAAAAAGAAAAAAGAAAAAATGCATGAAAAATAGCTAAGTCAATAACTTCTTATAAAATCAGACAAAATCAGAAAACTAGCATCAATCATAATTATTGTGATTACAAATCACGTGTTTAGTGTAGAATTTAACGTGCCAGATTACAAATCACATGTTTAATAAAAATGATTGATAAGAGACCGTCAAAATCTAAATTACCAAACCTGTTCATAATAAAGTATAAATCTAGATTGCAATTTTGATTCGGTTCGGATCAGTTTTCCCGGTTTTTAAGGTTCCAAGTCCCAAGTCCCATGCCTGCTTTAAATCGAAAATGCAACACAGAACACCACATTTAATGGAAAATAGCCGTTCAATAGGTTTCTGTTACACTAAAGTCTTAAGACATATATCAACACTCCAAGATGTTACTTATGAGGTCTCGACAAAACCGATATAAACTGCAGAGAGATAAGCACGCCTTAGCTCACTCCTTTAAGTGCATAAGTTGCCCGTAGATATTCAACAATCTCTGCACTCTCAAACATCTGCACCCCGGTATTTGGATCCTCTAAGTATGGAACCTGGGAAAATACATTGGCATATGATTGTAATTTCTTGTTTTAGTTCCCCAATGTGTTTGGGAAACAAAGTACTGCTAACGAGGAAGAGAGGAATACCTGGAAATGTCCAACTCGTTGGTACAATGTTTGACGTTTGGAGCTGCCCCGAGCACAACTGCAAAGTAAATAGCAACCCTTTAAATTTTGGCTACATGTAATCGTTTTTCACCACCACTTTTTTGGCTGCCAATCCCTGCCATGGAAGTCTATAACATATGGAGTATTTTGCTTTTCTTTTTCCACCCCAGGGGGCGTCGGGGGAGGGGGGTTTGGGGGGCTTGGGGTAAACTTGGATCAATCTCACTCCATTGAGAAATGAACCCGTGACCTCCCATAAGGGAGAGTGAGTCGGCGACCAGCTGGGCTGGACCGCTTCCTCTACGGAGTATTTTGCTAATCTAACATACCATCTGAAATAACAATCAAATACTGCTAAGATATTTTGCCACGGTAAAGAAACTGAAACCAACTTTCCAAAATCAATCATGAATGGTGACTTGTTGGCCTCCAAACTAAAAGGACTTGTATGTGACGGTTGCTGGAAGCTGATGAGGAAGGTTTGTTATTTTGGGAAAACTTTTCATTGAAGGTTCAAACAAGTGAAGTTCATTACTTCACAGGATTTGCCAGCACAGCCTTGAATGCATGGTGTTATTAGGCAAATCAACTGCCAATGACACCGGCAACAGATATGAGCTGAGAACAATAAGGTCACGGCTGTTTAACAAATAAAAATGGATCTGACGCTTAATGAATTTAAGTGTTTGGGTGAATTCTTTAGCAGGGGCAGAGCTGATGTTGTTCAAGAGTGTTCATGTGAACACCCAAAAATCAAAATGTCGTCGTTTTGTTAGTCTTTGAAAAAATAAAGCTCCAATGTTCCTTGGTTTCTCCCTAAATCTCACTTGCGTTTCAGAAGATTGCCCAACCTGTCCACCCCTCCACTGCGTAAGTGCGTAGCCAGCTGCCCTAGATTAGTAGCCACTCAAAGAAGAATTGCAGCTCGCTCCTCCATCTCTCACGAATTCCAGTCATCGTCCTCGCTCTGTGGAAACATCGCCGATCTCTGCCAAATCGGAAGTCGGGATCTCTTTTCTCGCCTACAGGCAAGGCATATCTCATTTCGGAGAATTTGGAAAGACAATCCTACTTCTCCTCTTACGCTTATGATTCCATTTCAGCGAATTCAGTCTCCGTTCTGCCTATGAATTTGATGCTTCATAGGGTGACGACTTTTAACTCCACTTTATAATTAACCTAGTGGCTAACTTAGCAGTATGTTTTTGCTTCATTTAGTTGTGTTAATAAAAAATCCACTCTGCTGGTTAAATTAATAATTAATACTCCGTATGAGTATTCCATTTAATTTTAATTGAGTTTTTTGAAGACCCAAAACATAAAGGCCAAATACGCCACTGTTCTTTAGGATCCAAATCTATGGTTGGGAGTTTGTTCTCACAGTTCCATTGTCATAACCGCAAATCTATTGTCATAGCGGGAACCATGGGATGACATGTAGTACCTGTGAAGTATGTGAGGCAGCTCAAGTTCAACAAGTACTTCACGCACAATTTTACAAAACGGAGAAGGCTGAAAGAAAGGGATTACACATCAATTAATGACAAAACATGTAAGCACTGAGTCTATACAATATTGAAACCCAACAATAATCAGTATGTAATCCAAATGAAAAATGACACGAAATGTATTGGTATCAGTTCAAATAGTTGTTAAATTTCACCCAAGCAAGAAAAAGTCTTACCTCATATGCCCAAATATCAAGAGGCTTTTGTGGAAGTTTAGATGGTGTATAGGAAGATCCCTTTCCCATTCTACCAATCATAGCTAAGCCAGCTGACAATGTCTGAAAGGTGGAAGACATCATTGAAGACATAGACTCCTAGTGATTTCAATTAGTCTGGAAAACTATTACTCCCTCTATCCCACTAGACTTCGCCAACTTTTCTTTTTTGTTTGTCCCAAAAACTTTGTAACTTTCTTTTTAAAGTAATGAATTTGTGGTTCTTATTTCTCTCTCCTCTGCACAATTCTCAGCCACACAATTTTTACTTTTCTATTCCATACCCAAATCACAGTAGGCAATGTCCAACGAGACAGAGTGAGTTTTTCACTTACAGTTAGCGGACCAAGAGACAAAGAAAGTGGGACATGTCCATCACCTACACAAGAATACCGTGTGAGATAATGTATGTATTATGTATACATATTAGTTGATATAATACAAATTTAAAAAACTGAACAAATAGAAAAGAAATTTAAAGTAAAGGTAGTGTATGAATATAAATCCTATTGATTCAGCAGGATGCAGTAGTATACCATATTTTCCAACCAGGTACTTTATTATCTCATCTGATTCATACATTGCAGCCCCAGTGTTTGGATCAACCTGTAGCAGAAATATCATAAAATGTATTTCATATTTGAACAATATTAAGAGTTACAAGTGAACTGTGATAGCATAAGTGTTGAGTTACCATATAAGGAAACTGTTGTTTTCCTCCCATTTGTGCGACCTTTGGACGAAAATTTGGTCCATTTCTTGGGCATGGATAGAACAGCACATCAAGATCCAAAATTGCAACAATTTCCCTTACCTGTATTTATTTGTGGTTGGCACGTAAGGAATTTGCAAAAGTCATACTATAGAGACAATATCTTATATGTTTGTCATTACAAAAAAAAGAGCAATGAACCAATTGGAAAAGTAAAATCTAAATGAGGTATTTCTTAATGCAGAATTCGGTAAACTCCCTAAATTCATGAAAGTAGATTAGTGTGATTTTATTTCATTAAAGGTGCAATTCAACTGTTTGCGCTCCTTTGTTATGAATCAACAGTTACTCCATGTGATTTTTGACGCGTTTTTCATAATGGGTCATCCGGAAACAGTCTCTATGTGCTTTAGTACAGGGGGTAAAGCTGCGTGCATCCGACCCCCTTACCCCACTGTAGGTGGGAGCCTTTGCGGCACAGGGGAAATGTTGTTGTTGTTGTATGAAAGGTGCTATTGAAAGTAAAAGCATCATAGGCAGATCAGGGTTGCCAAAGTCAAGCAGAAGCTAAGCATAAAAAAAAAAACTAATGCTGAAAGCTAAACTGACCAAAGCAACCCATCTAGGAGAGTAGGAGTATCTAATCAAGTTCCTAGTCTGTCTGAAAGCGGCCATTTTGGGGATACCTAACTGATGCTAGGCCAAAACTTCAGAACTGTTGAGTCCAATATTTATGAGAATTTCATTACAAAAGTAAGTGAAACCGATATATCTAAAAGGGACTCATACTATGAAAAACATTGTATGTAGTATAAAATAATAAAATCATACGGAGAGAGTGAGAGAAATATCTCATGTTGTATAATACGTAGTATTAAACTCCTGGGTACATTCTAAGAGCAATTTTTGAATAAAAATACGGAAGACTTTGAGGAATGCTCCTAACGAGATGTGATTAAAAAAGGTATATAGTAAAAGAAGAGAGAAAGTCAGTGGTACCTTCCGACAAAAGGGGCAGCTGAGCAAACCACCGTTTAATCCATGGCAGGCACATTAGTACAGAAAAAAAGATGATGAAATAAGGAAATGACATATTCGGCTGAAGAAAGGCCAATTGTAGTTCAAATGAAAGCAAAGAAACCTTTCAAATTCGTATATCTCAATGGGCTTCTCTGGGCGAGGACCCACTCTTGAACTCTCTTTCACCTTGAAGCCTGTTAAATAAACTTCTAAAATCAGAACTTTGCAAGTTAAAATATTGTGACAATATTCTAAGATTTACTGTGTAGCAGCACACTAGTGTGTCAATTGACTTATAACAGTTTCAATGAATCAAATAATAACTGCATGTTTAGTTTGCGCAGTGACTTAATCATTACTAGTGCATTTTCACCATCCAACTAGGCATAGAGAATAAATAACAGTTAAAGGGTTATGAGTGGAGATGTTAAAAGGCAGATAACTACCTGCAATTTCAAGTGCATACTGGTCAGATGGTATTTTATCCTTGCTAACAAGGGAGGCTGAATATCTGCATATTGAAGACAGAATAATGTTTAAAACTTGTACATATCTGCACAAACTGATGAAATAAATGTTACATAAAGCCTTGTAAATCAGTTCAAGATCTTACAAGCTGCTACGACTACCACTTTATCACGATCAAAATCACCAGTTGCCACACTTTCACTATTAGTGATTGAATCACTGGTTAACAAGAACTAAGAGGCTAGCAACATGAAGTCTAAGACGGTGCAGTTGATAAACCAGAAGTCCTTGCAATCTTAACTCTAGGCTTTTGGCTATGTATAGCTACCAATTTCCAATTATTTCCAAATATAAACCATGTATATTTCAATGACTTTTAATCTCATCATCCGGTCATTCCTTTTACATACATATTAGACAGTTAATTAAAAAGAAGGGGGATTGGAGTGTGCAACCCGCTTTTTCATCCAGAATTGAGTTTGAACCCCATTTTTAAAAAACATTAACATTTGAACCCAAATTTGAAACTGGCAACTCATTTCTCTTCCAATGAGGAGATTGCTCCCCCCCCCCCTCATTAACAGAATTTTCTAGCTTTGGGGCGCAGAACAACTCTCAAGCATTGGGTGCAAACTTAAATCTTGATGAAAAAGTAGGGGTGCAAACTCCAATTCCCCTCAAAATTAAATGAATCCATTATAAAACTGGCTACCAATTCCCCATCCAGTAAGTGACTGATTATGAAATCAATAGAGATTTAATTCAATGAACATCATAATCTAACATTTTCGGACAAAACTCATATGAGCAAATAAACCTAACTTCAGTAAGCGAGTAACCTGAAAAGATGAACTTTACAACACATACCCAGAAACAGTAGCGCCAGTACCCAGTCGAAAGACTATAGCAACAGCAGCTCCCAATACGTCGAAGAGCTTATCGCCCCTAGCCCTGAAAGGCTTGGGCTGTGGCGCCTTGAAATTAGGAGGAGCCAAAAGGGAAGTTTCCGATTTGGGTTCATTTGTGCTGGCAGAGGTGGAAGCCATGGAGTTTTCCGAAGATGATGTAACAGAAAACAGTACTCTCTTGCTCCGGCTGTTTGAAATAACTTTCCGGGTCGAAATCGGTCGAACAATAGGGGATGGGGATAGGTTCAGAGAGCCGAACATGGCTCACCGGCGCGGTGGAGCTCCGGTTAGAAATTGGTTATGTTGTTCTTTGTGGATAGTGGAGGGGGCGATTTGGATTTGGGTGTGACGGTTGGTCAGCTCAACCGTTAAAACGGCTCTTCGATTTCACAAAGGGAAAGCAAGTAAACACTAATATCAATTCATATAATATCATTGGCTAAAGGGTCAAATAGGTACATGAACTAACTTAAAGTGTTCAATTAGCCTCTTATATAGGAGGTTCTACCCGGCCGTCGTCAATTGAGGCGGTTCCCGGTGGAATTTTTTGATGAAATTTTTTGAGCATCTTATTCATTAAGTCTAGTTTACCCATATCAAATTTCAGCTTTAAATTAAATCGGGAAGGCAGTCAAATGATTTTCCAAAATGTACTGTGTTGTTTAACTGCGCAGTTATCTTCAAAAAATCATTTGACTGCCTTCCCAGTTGAATATTTAGCTGAAATTTGGTATGGATAAACTAGACTTAATGAAGAAGATGCTCAAAAAATTTCATAAAAAAATTCCACCGAGAACCGCTCCAATTGACGACGGCCGGGTAGAACCTCCTATATAAGGGCTAATTGAACACTTTAAGTTAGTTCATGTACATATTTGACCCTTTAGCCAATATCATTCTAATATCAAACAACTCTTCATAAAAAACAGTCTCATATAATTGTCTCGACTCTAATTCATTCTTACTTTATTTTCGCTTTATCAATTTATCATCAATCACATAATTCTATTTTTCTTAAAAACTTCATCACTCTCTTGAGTCTCTTCCGATATTAGGGGAAGGAGGGAGTGAATGTCAGCCCATCAAACAAAATATCTACACTTTTTTGAAGCCTAAAAAAGAAAGTTGTTGTAAAATCATGGAAATTACAGGTGTGAATTATTCATCCTTTTAATCAGGACACTAATCTAGCATCAATCCTTGTAACCAACTTAGAACAGATGGCTCAATTTATTATTGCCACCAAATCTGTAGAGTCATCCTTTAGATGACTAATCATCAAGCTCAACCACTATAAATAGGAGCTTGGTAAAGCCTTGTAAATTCATTCAGAAATTATCATATATTAAGAATAAATAATTTAGAGCTTTTATTATTATATCTATCTCTTTAATCTGTTCTGCATCTTCTTCATTTCACAACAAAAGTAAAAATTTAAATGAAATGAAGTGACTATAATTTTTGTTATATTCGTCGAGAAAATGATACGTTTTAGAAATTCGAATAGTAAAAGCATTCATTTGAAAGTAATTAATTATGTTTAGAATAGATAATACTTTAAGGGAGTGTTTGCCGTAGCTAAAAAACGTTTCTCGACTTTTGGCTTAAACGATAAAAGTAGTGTTTTCAAGTGACAATTTTTATTTAAAAAAGCATTTCTCGGCTTTTGTGCGAAAAATACTTTTTACTTTTTCTATTACACAAAAAGCATTTATTTTATCAAACGCTACCAACTTTTATCTTTCAAAATCATATTTTTCTCAAACACTATCGGCTTTTACTACTAATAGCTTTTTCCAAAAAATGTTTTTTTTAAGCAGAAGGGGGCAGTTGCAAACACTCCCTAAGCCACGTTCAATTGAATGTGGCCACACAGCCCGTCAATGGCTTTTTTAGGTTTGACCGACACCCTCCAACTGCAAAACTAAGAAATGTAATCAAAATTGAGGGACATAGCTCACCTGGTACAAAAGTCACAAGGGAGATGTTTCATATTTCAACTTCAATTAATTACTTGGAATAGAACTTCATTCTTTTTCTATCACAATGTGATTAAAGCTCAACTTACATCCTCCCAGATAGTTGTCTAGTCGATTATGGAAGACCCTCAGTGATGAGTGTCATCCTTTTTTAAGAAATAAAATCAAAAGAAATTGCTAGGTAAAGAATAAGAAAAGTGCAAAAATAAGGATTTATATTTTTTCTTTAAAATATACGAAGTAGTGTCTTATATAAGGCTGAATTTAATAAGGTTTGGAGGTAGCCGTTGGCGACGGGAGGTATATGGTGGCAGAGGAGGCCTGACAACGGAGGCATGGCAGAAGTCCGGCAGATTGAGGCGCCCAAACGGCAACTGGCATCAGCGGTCCGATAATGGCAAATTGATAGCTTCAATTCAAACCCTACAACGGTGTTTTTTATGATTGTGGAAATTTTCTTTAAAATCATTAGGTCTGTGGTGCGGTTTACTTGGTTGGCCATGTTAGAAAAATGGTATTAAAATGCGAATTTAACCAGATAAAAATCTCGAGCTTACAGAAATCACTAGACATACTGTCAAATGCAAGAACAGGAAAAAATAAAAATTAAAAAATAATATAGAACAAATAAAAATAAATAAGAGAAGAAATTAGAAGACTCATCGCAGGACCACCCATTAAAACGGATTGACCTTGAAGAAAGATATACAACCCCTTATCTCAATAGCTATTCGGATGGGTCTAACTAGGCAGCTAGCTCGCTCTAATGATAATTCTACTTCACGCTTGTAGTTACCATTACCCGTATTACCAGAGGAAAGAGCTATTTCAGCTATATCAATTTCAACGAAGTTTTCCAAAAAAGGAAGGCCGATCTGGAACATCACTCTAAGAAACTCCAAAACGGGAGTTCAAGTTCACTTTACAATTTTGTCAAAGCCAGCTAGAGGAAAGTTACGGACATAGTGATTCGGACGGAGGTTACAACATTATTCGTAAGTTACACTCCAGCGGGTTTTCTGGAAAAGGAGTAATAGACTATACACCGAATAGAAGTTTGGTCTTTCAACCAAATAATCTAAAAACTCTTTTCGGTGAAACAATGCACGTACGAAAATTAAAAGGAAAGAGTTGCATGATCCAAAAATAAGGATCAATTACAACCTTATTCGAACTTGTTGCGCGCATTTAAATGCACGGAGTTATGTTTCATTCACTCAAGTAGGGCTGGGTCCGAAAAACCGAAAACCGAAAACCGAATCAAATCAAACCGAACCGCGACCAAATAAACCGAACCGCTAAAAAACCGAAACCGAATGTAAAAAACCGAACCGTAGTAGTTTGGTTCGGTTTTGGTTTTTACTCTTCAAAACCGAACCGAACAAACCGAACTAAAATAAAATATGAAATTTTATTTGTTAAATGAAAGCATTAATCTTACTATCATCAATAATCTTTGAATTTCTTGTGCTAGAGAAATAATGTTTGTGCTATGTTTATTTTAGTTTATAAATGCCCATAATAATGTACCTATATTGATCTATTATGGCAGTGTTTTGGTTTGCTTTTGAAAAGCACTTTTGGCTTTTTTAGAAAAAAAATCTATTTGGAGTGTTTGCAAAAGGGAGCTTTAGCTTTTAAAAAAGTGATTTTGGATTAAAAGCTGGAAGCTGCTCCCAGCATGCTTTTATCTGCTTTTTTTGGTTTTATGGTAATTAAAGCCAACATTAAGGATAGTTATATCATTCCATTTCCCCCTATACCCAACTTTACCCTTATCAATCATCCCGATATCTCTGTCCCAGACTCGCAGCCTCCCTCCATATCTCTTTCTTCTCCATCTCTGTGTCGCACATCCGCATCGAGAAGTTGAGTCGTGAACGCTGCTCTAGCTAATTAAAGATCAGCTCCCTTTCCCCATTGAAACGTTGTTTCGCACATCCCCATAAGAAAGAGAGCGATGATGTCTGTATTGCAAAACTCCATGCTTATATGGATTTATAAATAAAGAACCCAGGGAGATTTTCCCTTCGTAATTGTCACTAACCTATTTAAAAGAGTATTGCAAATAATCTTGGAGATTTTGATTTTTTACTTTGAATTTGGAAAATTAGCTTGGAGGAGAAGTGGAGAACCGTGTATCTGAGAAAGCTATGTCGCAGGGGAGAGTGAGCTGATTAATGAAGGGGAGGATATTTTTGTACATTCCCAAAAATATAATATCACAATCACTTTTTTCCCAAACATTCCAACTTTAACTTTTTCACTTTAATCACTTCTATTCTAAAACACTCTCAACTTTTATCAATAATCACTTTTTCAAAAATCACTTTACAAAATCACTTTTTTAAAAGTTAAGCAATAGCAAACATAGCCTATGTCTTCTATGTATGTATGTTGCAACTTATTGCATGGTTATATGTTTTTACTGGTTATTAGTAGTAACTAACTTTTATTTTTATGTAACTTAAATTTTTATGTTGATAAAACAAATAAATATTCATTTCAGCTATATCACATAGGACGTATGTATTCATAAACTTTTTCAAACTAGTCACAAATAATCTAAATTAAGAATATATATACACTTTTATCTCTCCCGCATATATACTCATATAATTCAAGACATATTTGTTATTACTCCGTATTATTTTCTTTATTTGTTCAAGTATGCTTGCATTTAATGTGATATGTTTGATCTCTCAAACTTTTATATCAATTTTAAATCAAATGGCAATTTTTTTGGAAAAAACCGAAAAAACCGAAACTGAACCGAAACAAACCGAACCGATCAAACCGTGGTTCCAAGTTTTGGAGTGTAAAACCGAACCAAAACCGAACCGAACTTTTACTTTGGTTCTGTATTTGGTTTTAGGTCAAAACCGAACCGAAAGAACCGAACCCACCCCTACACTCAAGGCAAGCTGTTCATGATAATACCATCCTAATTCAATATTAATTTATTAAGAAAATAAATTCTTTCAGGTCCAATGAACCACCGAATCATAAACATTACTCATACTCTATAACTAGACTAAGAACTGTGAACACGCACGGGCATATCTAGAATAAAATAACAATTTATTTGAAATTAGTTTTATTGTGATGATACGTAATATGCATTTTTTGTGTACATATTAAAAGCAGACCTATGCAAGCTTTTAGATTTAGAAAAGCTAAAGCAGTCTTAGCAATGAGATGCGTATATTTAGATTAATCACTTTAAAGATAAAAGTTGGGAGTAAGAAAAGGAGTACGTTAAACCGATTATACATATAAATTAATATTTTACTAAAGAATTTAACTTTAATTTCTCACAATCACTATTCTTTTTAAACACTACCACCTATTAGAAAGCCGTTGCAACTACTTAAAGAAATGATTTTCGATCAACTTTTTGCTTTAAAACTAAAAAGTAAAATG